CAAAGATATTTATGTAGATATTCAATTCATGAGGTTCACATAGACCACGTTAACCTGTTCTTGAACGATGCTATGTTTATTTTCCTACTGTTGTTCACCAACAGCAATTCTGAATAATTCAACAAAGACATAAAAGTGCAAGTATGATTTACAACTGTCTGCATTTTAATACCAATTAAGATATCCTGTGCCAATATGTGATTGAAATTAATGTTTTAAACTATACATGGTGTTTCAAATGAAATTGTTTTAAATATCTATATATCATTATAATGAAAGTGAAGAATTTTGAGTAACGTGTTCTTTTTTCTATCTTCTTTAGTAATCAAGTGCCTAACCTAAACTGAACATCCCATCAAATGCCTGTCATTACACGTGTACCTCGGCTTCCAACGAAAGGATGCACTTTTACACAATGCAGTTGTCACTATCTTAACATTGATCTACATATGAACTAATCGACACACCATTATGATACCCTCATGAAAAAGCCAACCCCTGATGAAGCTGGAAGTTGGGAGAGACATCAAATAGTTAGTCCAGTTTCATCTTAATCGGCCCACAAATAAAAAGAATAGATGATGCCTTTGAGAATGAGTACATTGATGAGTGTTTCAAGGCAACGGGATGAGTAGGAGCGACCGATGTTAAGAGTTGAGTACATGAATACATATCTTATCAAGTGTATGCGGATAACCAACGACTTTGCTGTTCGAACGCCGCGTGTCTTTCTTTCCTGTCCTTTTCTATATAACAATAGCTTGATTGGTGTCGGTGCTTGGATATAAATATTCATGTTTATAATTCTAATCATTTTAGAGACGCAATTGAAGATGGGTAAAATGTTAGATAATAGGACAATGACGATCGCTGTATTTTCTATTTTAAAGCTGTTGATGCATGTTGTGATTCTGACGGAGTAAGAATTACACGTGAAGAACAGTACCAACAAATAATCCTTTATGACATATCTTGTATTTATGGATGAATTATGTACGATACTGCCTACGTAACTATTTGCTGACATTATTCGCAAAAGTACTGATGCCATTATTACTTTTTACGGTTACTGTAAAAAATTCGGTGAACATATGTTCACTGATATTAAGATATTGTATTGTTTATATCCGGTACCTATTTAATATCAGACTGTGTAAAATACCGGACATATTTTTATTTATAATATCTATTAATTGAAAACAAACTGTAACTCGATGTTTATACAGGAATCTGTTCTTTTGATTTTTTCCCCTTGTTTTATGCAATGCTTGTTATGAAAAGTATAACTCTTGCTTAACTAACATCCAACATGGAATCGTCGTCAGATTTGTGAAAAACAATATTCTCAACACTTTTATTGTATTCGCCACGTGCAGGATAAAGACCATCTACCATTACCATGGTTTCTGTGAATGATATGTCATCACATCGAGGGTATAAAACGTCTGATGTAAATAACCCAGAGTCTTCGGGATCATTGATTGGAAGGGAGGGATACAAGCTACTGTGTAGTCCGCACGGGTGATATGATCGCAGGCCACGACCTGATAGCATGCTGTATATATACTGAAGTAGTATATCTATTAACGATCAACAAATAAAAATACACAAAACAGAATAAATCGACGAAGAACACGACTAATAAATATATACTCCTACTGTGGAAATTGTTGGCTTGCTGTTTTAAACCAATTATTTTATTGTATAGCTGTTTTTTTAATTATTTTGATAATGTATGTTTACGATGTCAGTGTGTGATCTGTGATTACTATTTACGCATTAAACAGACCTGACTCCTTTCGAATAGTGCTGAGAACTTATCGCATTATAATTTTGCATATTACTAGTTATCGTCATAGTAATGGTGTAAGACCACAACTTTCAATCAACATATTTTAAGAGATGGATGATGAACAATTCTGATTATATTTTAGTTCAAACCTGTCACTCTTTCACAAGTCAAACTATTAAGAATAGAAATAAACTTATATGCGTGGTACCTGGGGAGTGGTATACAGACAGATAAGTCGAAACCACAGGTGGATATACACATCTCTTTATGCCTAATTTACTACTATCTTACCATAGCAAACTCTAGACTTTCTCATATAAGGAGCCCCCCCCCCATAATTCTCCTGTCTGGCAGCTTTTTGTTAGTCCCCCTAGAGTTAAACCACATGCATGTCTATGTTTGATTTACTTTAACGTTTTGTTTTCCTTTTCAAGCTTTAAAATGCATAACAAAACTTACACTAAATGCACCACAATACGTTACATAGGAAACATGTCTCGTTTATTATTTAATGATCGAACAATTTCACCTACCAATGTTTTATCAATCTCTTAAGTCTTTTGTGTAAATTTGTTCAAAACATCATACATTTTAACATGATTAGTGTCAGTGTATTAATTGCAATTTGTAATTGTGTGTACAGATTTTTTTTATCAATGATGTTTGATGTGTAGCGTACATTCAAGAATGTCCTAGAATGTTTTAAAGATTTATTATTGTGTACCACATTGATAGGTCAATGTAAGAATGTAGTACATTATCCTAGTGTGACCTTATTTATCTATTTATTTACATTTTAGCAAAATGCCTATGCATGCTATACCCATTGATCGAATCAACTGATCATGCTAATCTCATTACCTATGGTCAGTTTGTAACGTTTCCGAAGTTTGGTTGTTTCTATATTTGACATTTGTTTTGTATTCGTGATACCGCCCCCGCAGGAAATCTCGACCATCCCTCTTAGACCCCGAAACACATACTATGATACAGGCAGACATGTTCTATTATTCTATGTAAAATACAATCCTGTTGAAGTAAGATACGTGCGTCAATTATTTCATCGTTTAATTAGACTGGCGGTGATTACAGCGTACATTTTAAATACTCGCTTATATAAACAATACTCATAATATAGGCAACGCAACGTTGCCTTTTTGAATTCGACGTCAAACGCCCCTTTCTGTCAGGGCAATATCATGTTTAAATATTGATATTGTTTAGACGTCCATTTCATTGTTTAGAATATCCTTTTTTTACTCATAGAGAGAATGTCATTTTGAAGTAATCTCCCTTATCACTTAAAGAAGCATTTTCGTTTTCACCTTTTAATTTTATTATACCTTTTGATGCCTATGGAAATTTAGATATGTTTCACTGTGGTTATCATGTCTGTCTAACCAATTTGCTTTAGATATAAATTGGAATAATTTCGATGTATTGATATGACCTTATTATTGAATTCATAAATTATAGATTTGTAATATGTTTACTACAGATTGATTCTATTCGCTTGAGTTGTGTCCATGAATTTATCAAATATTTGTATAATAGAATCCCATTTTTAAAAATACATATGTATACTCTCGGTTCAATTTAAGCTTTCTGCTGCTTTTAAAACAAAATTTAACAACAATTGTGTTTTAATGGCTGACGTGTTCTTCCCCCTGCACCCTTAATCGTACTTATAGTTAGCAAAGGCCAGAGAATGAGTACAAAAGAGCTTTCGGTAGCAATGTTGGTATTTGTTGGCGAACACGTGTTGAGGTGAAACTAGAGATCGTGGGCAGAATTTTGTGTGTATATGACGACTCTCATCATGAAACACACACACCATAGTGAAGGAGGTAGCAACGTTTATACCGCCGTACACAAAATGTGCATTGTGTCTATGGTCGACAGTCCTACTTTGTGTGTACTTATGTCTTATTCAGGACTCAAACAGAAACAATGTATTGATATCTATAATTTATTATAGTTTAGCTTTATTCCGTTTCAGTAAAATACAATGCCATTTATTGTTAATCTAGTTTTGTATTCTACCCTAACTACGTAATGTGCCTGAACATATTGTGATGCGTATATTGTTACAGCATAGCAAGGTCTGAAGTTGATTTGTCCTGTTATAGAAAACAGTGATTTATCGGATAAGTATATAAATCCAATAACATTTTAGTAGTCTCATTGTTTTACGATACTACTTAAGACCACACTTTGAAGTTGAACTTATAAATAAGTTCAGGCAATATTACAATGTCTAAAAGAATGTGTCTAAATGTATTAAGTACATGTTGATTGTTTACTATGTAACAAATAGTTCTTTCGACATTATCTTATTTTAAATATTATGTTTACAGAAATCTTGAATAAGTAATATGACAAATATTTCATATCGGAGTTTTGAATTTTGATTTCAATTTAATGTCTGCCTTAGATCGAAAACCCAATTATTAAACCTGAATTCCAATATAACCCTTCAAAATACACAACCAACAAGAAGAACAAGTGAATTTGAAAAAAGTATTATTTAGCAACTGTCATCAAATAGTTTTTTACCATTATATTTCTTATGTAAATGTGATCATAGGTATTTATCGTTGTTGTCCTAGAGGTGCCCTTGCTCTTAAGTCAATGATCTGATGTGATTAAGTATACACGTGCCGAGTTAAATATAATCTAATTATTATATAATGTATGTCAATGATCATTTCAGTGGTTCTGTACATGTCATGTTAGATTAACTATAACCTTCGAAATGAGCGAAATAATATTTCTTTTCTATGAAATCTATTTATTCTGGTTTATATTCATAGATTATTATCTTCAAGGACTGTTTATTGCTTTGTGTTTATTCAAATATTTGCATATATTTTATTATACAACATACAGTATTTACAAGACTATATTAGAATTACATACATTATGTACCATTTATTATGCTGCACATTTTTATAATATTTCATTTAGAACAGAAACAGTTTTACATATATGGAAATTGATTGTGGTTATGGAAAGGTTATGTCTTATTTACATATTTTTGTTAACATAATTATTAACCAGTTTGCTGATAATCGTATGTAAACGAAATAGTGATAACCAGAATTGACATCGTCTGGACGCAATAGAATAGAAAATAAAAAACTCTAATAAATGGGTATTTTGACATGAGTGGTCAGTAAGAATGGCACACACACATTGACACACTTACTCTGTGGAGAGTCCTTAGATTGCTGATTTTGTCCGTTCCTGTCCTGTGGGCTGGGAGGTTCCTCACCCAGATCTGTCAGTCCCCCATTCGGGGTGCCGTTCAAGTTGGGGGTACATGCTTGTGTGGGAAGACCAGGCTGTGGATCTGTGTTCGCGTACATAGCACAATTTTCACTTGGTAATTCCTCTAAATCTAATAAATGACTTACTGAAAAATTGGCCTTGTTATTCTGTAGAGCGTTCTGATACGCGGCAACTTTGTCAAAATTGTTCGCAAATTGATGCTCCGCCGATGTCGCTGATAGCGTATAACTACTCATTTTCTCACACAAATGAGAAAAGCAAACCAGCTACTCAGTATTAACGAACAATCAATTGTGAGTTACAGCCCTGGATTAAGTTTAACAAGTTTCCTGGGTAGACATATGAACTGGCTCCTCAAGAGTGGCTAGTAATGAAGCGAAGGTCCTTTTCTAATGATCCCGTGCTTCGGCCTTATCTCCAGATTTATCGCTCTTTAAGAGACCGCTTGGCTTAGCTTGATAAAACCAAGAGACACAGAGGCAGGACCCAACGCTATATAATGCGTGTATGAGGGTAAACAACAGCGGGTAAGTCAAAATGCTCAGGAAACTGATACCGCAAACATAGGAAAGGAGGTCCCTCTCACTATACCATGTGCTTCTATGAGGGGAACATGACAGGCTGTCAGCATCCCAATGATTCAGAGTGGCCAGTTCAGGATCCAGTGGGCGTGGCATAATGTTTGAAACTCCTCCCAAACTGAAGGAAGATCAAGATGCTTATTTTTTCTTATGTATTTCTGAATAGAATGTAAAACACTTAATAAAGGAATAGTTAAAAGATAACCATTAGGTCCTACACAGCATTTAACAAGCACTTAGTGTATTATCAAACTGTCCGAGAACATTTTTGTAGATAATTACTTACGATATATTATGTGTATTTACTTTTGATAGCATTCATTAAAGTACAAGTATTGACATTATGATCAATTAAAGACTTTTTAATCACAAGAAAAATGCAAATTATCCTCTACTGTGTAGCAAACAACGTGCCGCTCCCCACACATATTGTGACCAACATGCCGATTCGGTCTTTCAGGATTTTAATCAAAAGGACGAGGAAATAAGCTTACGAGCTAATGAACTGGCTCTCTCGTCTATGATCTTTGTCACCCGGTGCAAGACATAAAGTAAATCATATTATATGGTTTAAAATTAGCATAAAGTAGCCCCTTGTGTTTAACTAATGAGTGTCGTCATTTCATTATAATTCTCTGTGTATGAGTGGATTGTATAAAACATAAACGTGTGCAATGGTAGCAAAGTTTAATCTCATAAAAGGACCCCTGTATAATAATTTCAAAGTAAAGATTAGACATTCTTTATGCACATATCTTTTATAAGTCGGCCTTTGTTCAATACACAACGTGTGGTCGGGTATATGCATATTATCATATGTCACGAAAGAAACCTAGTTTTGTCCTACGATTCCTCCTAAAGTTATGTTTGCTTAAAGACCAATACATTATTTTTTTATGAGACTATTCTTCAAATCAAAACGTTTGTTGACAGACTAACTATCATTGTGACATGACATCTGGTTATTTTTTATTTTTTTTAGGTGGTTTATCTAAAGCATTATTCCTTATTATATATATTTTCTCTCTTAAAGATATAAATATGCATATTCAGTCTATAAATAATCCCTACTGTGGCGAATTGGATTGTTGATAGAGCTTTAATACATTACAAGATACAGTAATTGTTATACACACATCATGAAAAGCACTCTCTGGTGATATAAGGAAGGTGCAAATTGCATATATACTTATATAAATATGCAAATTAGCTTAAATGTGTTACTTTTTGGCAATGAAAACCTGGCTTTGGATGTACATGTGATGTATTCGAACATGTGCAGTCCCTCATAAAATCCAGCTGAAGATTTTGAACATAAACTATATGTATATATTTATTACAATGACATGTAATTGACTTCTATCATCTGTTGAATTTGAAATTAAATGACTATGTCATCACTTGTATATATATATAATATTTTGTTGATAGGAGATGGCTTCATGAGTTGCTATAACTTGTGTCAAATAGTTTGTACCTATTTTGGACAATAAAATATGTTTAAAGTCAAAGTCGTCATATATAGTATATAGATAATTAATGTAAGTTCATAAAATACAACCATGTTTTATAAAAAATCTATCACATTTCAAGTTCTCTCTTTGGGTTTTCTATACCAAATGAGAATTTTAAATAGTTTGAACAAATGAAATGAGTCGGTACCAAACTCATCGTTAATTTGGTTAGGCTGAATGTCAGTATATTGCTTCCCTTTTTAAGGGTTTTGCCTCATCTTTAAATTTAAACTTAAATTTCCGGAATGTGCCTTCCTTTTGGTTTTTATTTTGGTTTATGTCCAGTTTCTGTTGCTGAGTTGTGATATTATCGTAAGTGCTTCTGTCTATGTTATTTTCTTCATTAACGTGTTCATGTCAAATAGCTAGTTCAGATGCAATTGTTTAAATAGTTCTCAGGTATGGCATTACTAAAACACTATATTGTTGTTGTTGAAAATATAATTTGTTGATCTTTATTTTCTTGAATGTAATAATTGTTTGATTCATATTACTTATTGTGTATGTTTTTAACGTTTGTTCTCTAGTTATACTTTAAATATTCGTTCTTCATAACCTTAAGATATTGTCCAACACAAGTATATGATAGATTAAGAAAACGGTATCAATGTAGAAGAATTAATTTTGATATAATGCTTACGTCTAGTTCTTCAAAGAGTTTGGGTATAACAACTGGGTCAGTTTGCCCACCGTGGGTGCTAGAACTGTAAACGAACCGTGACGAGAACGCACGACTCAGCTCACACATGGTAGATAGCAATGAAGATAAGGCAAATACCGGATTAATCGATTCAATGTCTTGAACAAAAATATGGAAAATTCAACAAATCTTTTGTATTGATAACGTTTTTTGATTAACCACCAAACATTAAAACAGGTAGTTTACGATGCATAATCCGGCAACATTCAACAACAAATTCAATGTCGACCTTTAATTGGTCAAGAACTACATTGAAGCTGTTTTTAGGTATCTGAATATTGCTATAATATAAAGAATTCCTACTTCGTTACTTTCCATTTTAAACGTTCATTTTTTTTAATATTTTTATATTTCCTTTTTTTAAAGATGAGTTTAAACAGATCTGGTTTGATGTATAATGGTTATATAAGTGCTGGTAGCTTATATAGATATTACTTTTTTTCGTTTATTTATAGCATAAAATTAGTTCAATTAAGCGGAAATAGGAACGACACAACATGGGTTTTATACTCGCAGGGTTTATTTTGATAGAAAATGACAACAGATTCTTTTATCAGGAATGTTTGTCATGTTCCCTGCTTATTGAATAACAAGGGGTCATGTTGGCCAAGTGTTAAAGGCGTCTGACATTCTGTTACCACTAGCCCTCCACCACTGGGTCGCGGGTTCGAGACTTACGTGGGGCAGTCTCCAGGTACTGGCCATATGTCGGTGGTTTTTCTGGGAACTCCGGCTTTCCTACGCCACCAAAACTTGGCACGTCCTTAAATGACCATAGCTGTTGATAGAACGTAACACACAAACAAGCAAACACACAAATACACAAACAAATTATTGAATAACATATGAATATCTTAATTTTGTAACTGCTTTTGTACATATTACCTCTTGTTATATCAAACGTATTAATGGGTGATATAAAGGGACGCAACTCTGTTTAGTTACTCTGTGGGTTGGTATTATCGTTTATACAAAAAAGGTACCAACAACAATACAACGTGTAGCGACACTTTTCAGAATTTATCTATTTTCTTTGACGAGAGCATGTTACCCAAATTGATTTCCCTATTTATATCCAGATTATACAACTGACAGAAAACATTAATTTTGGCTTTTTCTTTTTCTATGACATCGGAGCAGGAAATGTTTAATAATATCTTTTTTTAATTTTGTGTGGTTACATACATTTGACGATCTGATATTTCATATTTGTGCCAAAATGGATATTATTGCAGATATGATGTGGAAATGAAAATTATAAAACCATTTTAAACTATGAGAGTAATTGGTCACCTGCGACCATCGCGCTATATAAACCACCATTAATTGCGCAATATCGACTGTTAGATATATTTGCACTCTAAATTTTACAGTTATTCTGAATACAAAACCTTGTAATTATATTGCAATCTAAATATTTTTTGGAAAGCAGAGAGACGTTAACGAAATCAAATCCATTACATTCCAAATACAAATGAAATTATCTTTGGCAATACATATTTATTTTTCTGTATTAACAGACAAAGTACACATTCGGTTTTCTGCTATATCTCCAGTTATGGGTATCATAAATGGGTATGATTTATGACACATACTTCATTGTACATTTTACACCGGTATACCACATAAATGGCAAAATTGATACATAGATATACTTTTTAAAAAACACCTAAAATAAATAAATCTTAATTGAGTGCATCAACGATACTGTATTGATCATTATATAACCTTCTTTGCCTAACAAGAAATCTGATGACAATATCTTGCTTTTTATAGTTTTTCAAATCATTGCTAGCTTAACTGGTCATTAACACATTAACACATTTGTTTAGAATGTGATTTCTGAGAAACGTCTAAAATTACAAATTAAAAGTGTTTTTCGCCATTAATTGATTACTTAAATCCTAATCCATTTTTCAATCTTTTTCAATATATTTCATTTAAAACAATGCATTAAGTAGTCGCTAATGTTTTTTCATATTTTGAACAAGTGGAACTTGGTTTTAGAGAATAACAAAACTCGTAAAATTTGTATCACTACATGTAATAAATTGACTTGTGGAGTAGCTTTAAACTATAGGCCATCTGTAATTTGGTAAGTGATTCCTTTTTATAAAATATTTGATTAAATAACTCATATATTCAGTATGGTTTGTATGTGCAAATGTTTCCTTGTATGTTAGTACTACACTTGTCAAATAGAGATAAGTTTTTATCCTATCAATTAATGCATTGCCATTGGTAAGATATCAAACATGTCATTTAAAGTCTGTATCGAATACATAGCAAACTTTGTTAATTGTTTACAAACAATTTTATGCTAAGATGAATTCAATGACATGCATATACATGTATGCACTAGAGTGACACATTGTCCTATAACGATGTTTGTTTCCCACATGGTAGTATTGAAATATAGTTCACTTTGTCCTCTGTGTTAAATTGGTTTATGTGAAATCGTACTCATGCATGTAGGACAAATGTACCTAATCGTATCCAACTGTTAGAGGTTTTCTATTTCATCGAAAGGCAAAGTTATCGTTTTTTAACCACCACATTGAAAGTAGGGAAAAAATACAATGTTTTGTATAACCCTGGCTTTATGCTACATATATTAATAAAGGGCTTTGTAATACAGCACGACCCTTAAGTTTCACTGCTAGAAATGTTGAGTAGCCTTTATCATTAAAACATTGCAGTATGAATTTCGAGAAATACTTGCATCTCGTTTATTCTCCCAAATCAAGAT